GATGGCAGGTCTCACACAAAAGTCCAATTCCTCCGTGAAGTGTAGGTGGGGGGGTGACAAAGAAACAAAACAGAAATTACAGGTTCAAAACTATTCACGTCAGTTGCAAGACTCTTCATATAAAAGCTTCAAATAGCAGCACGACCAACTACCAGGATCCTATTAACCCATGGCAGTGTTGAAGTCTGTCTGAATTTGAGTTCCCTCTGCTCAACAGTTACGCAGAGTATATGTCTCAGGCTTTTATTGTGAAAAGGTAAGAACGGCGCTGCCTTTGTCAAAGTTGAAGGGAGGCATAAAGTTTGCCGTCTTGGTTGGGACTACGGAGCCTCGCTGTGGTGGTACACTGACTGTTTGCATTCTTACCAAAGAAACTAAACATGAACCTACACTTCACGGAGGAATTGGACTTTTGTGTGAGACCTGCCATCGGTTTAGATTACTTGATGTTTTCTCGTATCAGTGTGTGCTGTGAAAAAATGCTTCCTCAACATAACTTTACCAAAACTACACAACTACACATTAGAGAGTAACTATAATGCTGCTTCAAGGCTTACTCAGCATTCTCACTGATGCAAAGATATGGTAACAGATGAACAACAGTGTCTTTCTATTTCTTCAGCGACCTCGCAGCGGTACATGAGAAACCTTGTGTGTGTGTGAGAATGTGTGTGTGTGTGTGTATGTGTGTGTGTTTGCATCTCCACACCTGTGTGCTCCACCAGGAGGCACTCCGCGGCCCCTGACCGGAGGGCCCCCTCGGACTCTGGCACCGTGCTCCTGGCCTCCGTTCAGGTAGCCCATCTCCATGAACTGCTCTTGGCAGATATCATCCATCATATCCTACACACACACACACACACACACACACAGGAAGAAAGTAAAAAGAAGAGAGAGAGAGAGTTAGAAACAGGAGCATGTGACTTGGGGGGAGTAAGGGCGCACAAATGAAAAGCAAAGGAAGGGGGAGAAAAGGACGCAGTGAGTAAGAACGAGTGATGGAAAGAAAAAGAGTGAAACACAATTACAGAGCTGCACACAACGCGGCGTCTTAATGGCTACCAGAGCGAGTGGAAGAAAAAGTCTCGGTGCCAGTGACTCAGAGTGTTAAAGAGGAGAGGGTGTGAAGGAGGGTGGTGGTTGGAAAGCATCCATCAACACTCCCCATCTTCCTGTGTCTCTCCGTGAAGCACAAAACGTAAATCACTCCTCCCTGCTCTTCTCGACAAGTCTGGTGTGACTGCATCAACGGTGACATTATTACATCCAAAAAAACCCTAAACAATAAGTTGGTCCGGATCAGTGAGGCTGCCTGTCTGAGCAGCACAAATCCTGGAAACACAATCCGCCGCCTCTCTTCGGGGACCAATCACAGAGAGGTCTGCGCTGTGACCCGATCAATTCTTGCTCATAAATCAGTCCCCGGGAAATGGTGACCAAGCTCTAACGATGGAGAACAAAGAAGCGTGGGGGGGGGGGGGGGTCAGGGGGATACCGAAATATGCGACGCAGACGACAGCTTTCAATTCATCTGCAGCAAACAAACACGAGCCACTTGACTGATTAGAAATTCATCTCAGCCGAGGAGCAGCGCGACCGCAGCTGCATTTATAAAGCCCAACAAGGTGACACGTCTTTAGATTAATTAAGTTTCTGCAGACGGTACATTCTATAGAAACTAGAGACATGAAAGAAGGGATCAAGGCTGCAGACAGCTATACATGTATGAATAAAAAAATAAAGATGAGGAAGAACAAAAGCCTTCTGAAATACCTGAGGTGCAGTGCAGGTAATACATAAAACATTTTCACCAACAAATCACATCCTGTCGTTTTTTGCCATGGTCTTTATTAAAATATAGCCTGCTTCCAAATACAGGTCTGACAGGTTATGGCTTTAAATTGTAACGACAGGTTCTGCAGGGGACTGTTTTATTATTTATCTTTTTACATAACACAACCGGTTCATCAGCCCTTTCACCTCGCCTTAATTCGCTCTTCTATAGCAACCTGCACAATAATTAAAAATGCGTGGGCGTCCATTGGCCCCTGACAGGAGCCACTGTTAGAGCACCAGACTTCAGCAGCTGACTGGCTTTGGCCCGCGCTCAAGAATCTCCCAGCATAAAGCTGATAAAGTGAGCCGAGGCCACGCGGGGTGAACTCTGCCACGTATCTGTCTGAGAGCCGAACATCTCCGAGCTCATTCTCACCAGAAAATATGAGGGGGGGGGTAACCCTGCTAACACAGTGACAGCAACCAGACTCCTCCTCTTAAAGGGAGACACTACAGGTGGAAAGGGTGAAGAGAAAATAATAATAATTAATAGATATCGCCATTAAACTTCCCCAGTTGGTTACTTACATGAAGAAAGTCATTTTTTGCATTGCAAGTTTTCTGAAATGTTATGTTTAAATATGCAAATTAGGCATTCTCTTGTTAGATATGTGCAAATTTGCACAGAAGTCCGAACATTGCCAGGTTCAAAATCCTTGTTTCATTTTGTTGGAGTCAGGAAAATCTCTTTTCATCACTCCATAAATAAGGAAATACTGTCAACAGCCTTCAAAAAAATCAATGTTGGCAATATTCTTAGGAATAGATTTGTTAATAAATCAGGCTATGAATTAATGAAGTGATGCTTCTCAACCTTTTCCCCCCTAATGTCAGCTTCTCCATTGTGACAACTTGGTGTTTTCTTCTTTCTCTTACGTGAAAGTGATTCAACAGTTTGAGGTTGAGGCTGTTAATATCAAATCAAATAAATAGATTAAGCAATTAGTCAAAAAGATATTTGGCAGATTAGTTCGATAATGAGAGTTCAATTTGTAGGGTTAAGTGGTCAACTCATCAATTAGTTGACGGGCAGAAGAGAACTCAAATCTTAATACCAATTTAACCATTTTCATCAGGCAATTTGCTGTTACAAATAAAGATCAGCTTGGATATACATCTTTAGAATAAGTAATCACTTTAGCCTCTGTTAGCTTGTAGTGAGTGTCAATATTGTGGACATTTTACCGGCTAAATGATGAACCGAATACAAAATAAAACAGGCTAGTTAACGGCGTAACATCATTGTTAGTTACAACAAGCACACAAAAGAGTCAGACTCACTGGAAACAGGAACTTCTTGACCTCCTCCATGGCGTGCGCCATGCGCAGGTAGGCCTCTGGCACGGGGGCGAACACCTCGATGAACACGTGCAGCTCCATGGACAGGTGGGCGTACTTGGGCTCCCCGCCTTTCCTCATCCCCTCCTCCTGAGACGAGAGGGCGACAGCGCAGAGGTGTCAGGGAGTCAAAGAGAAGTGAGTCACGCAGCAAGGAGTAATCGAGTTTCAGTCCGCCTGGTGTGGTGCTCCCTTCCTTTATACGGCTTGATGATTACATCAAAGCGGTGGATAATGGGTTTTAGCGGGACAACCCGAAGAACCCTGGAACAGATGTGCAGCACCGGACGCCCTTGGCTCCGCGTCGACGCTACACTGCCAGTTGATGCCAGCTGGCCTGACACCCCTTCTCAAGTAGAGGCCAGATGTGTCATGGCTTCAGGTGCCCTTATCACAGGTGTGAACCCACCAGATGTGTGTATGTGTGTGTGTGTGTGTGTGTGTGTGTGTGTGTTACCTTGGATTTGTCTCTCATGGATCCTTTGCCCAGCACGGAGATCTTGGCTCCGGTCTCTTCCTGCAGACGTTTGATTGTGTTGCCCTGAGGCCCCAAAATCTTCCCCACGAAATTGAACTAACGGCAACACAAAGAAGAACAAAATCAGCCAGCCAATCAACGCAGAGGCACAGTTTAACACCAAGAGAGTGAAGGAGCGATTCACTGCCGGGTTGGGGGGGGGGGGTCTTGTTGTACATACTGCAGCCTTAAGCGGTAGATTTAGCAGAGGAGGTCGATATGAGCCCCCGAGGGCTGGAACACCGTCAATTACTATTCACTCCAATCATCCGAGCACTGAGTCGGAACTAACTCGTGATCAAATCCTGCGTCCTTTACCTCCTCAATCTTGGCACAAAGTAATCATGTATGGATGTGTGCTACAATTAGTTGTCATTGCCGAGCACATTTAGCAGTCGCCCCAAAGGAGGAGACCTGAACTAGCTGTGTCATCCCTGACGCAGCGGACTCATGTACCGACTAAGCCTAAGTCTGCCAAACTAAGACGGGCTTTCAGGAGATCAGAGGGCCGTGTCACCCCACAGGCCGGACTCCTACATCATATCGATCCGATGCTCGAGATCGGGCAGCATCTGTGCATCTTAGCCTTGTTCAAATGTTTTGGTAAACACGCTAAATCCTAAATGTAACTCCCGCCACATAAACGTAAAACGTGACACAAACTGCAAATAAACTTAACATGCAAATGCGATGCATTGTGGGAGTTTTACAGGACTGTTTACACCCTCACATAAACCGTCATCCTAAAATCACCAAATGTGTGAGCCCGATACAGATTGAACTGATATGGATGAGGTTACGAGATAAAGCAAGACTTCACCCTGAATGGAAACATTTGCAGAAGATCCAATCTTCTGCACTCAGTGCGAGTTACTCTGCGCTATATAGAGCCATCCTAATCATGGTAATATTAACATTTTGATCCTTTTTGTGATATTTTGAAACACGCCAGTATCGGCTGTAATTATACTCCGGAGCTTAAGGATCAAGGTTGAGAGGAGTAATTTGAGACTCCCAAGTAACCCCGTGGCTTCGTGTAATTGAAACCCAGCTGCAGGATGAATTAAACCAAGAGGGGTTCATGGTGGAGAAAAGAAAAAGAAGAGGATAGAAGAAGAAAAAGAGACCAGGCAAAAGAAAGCTCACCTTCGGGTACTGTTTGACAGGTATCAGCACCCGTTCCTTAAGTTTGATGTTCTTTGTTGTGAAGAGGTCCAGGTATGCGTCTACCTCCTTTTTAGTCTCGTCTTTCTGGATTCTATCGATTTCTAGAAGGGGAGAGGAATCGTTTCAGGCACAGTGTTGCATGCAATCAAAACAGGATTCAGAGGAGGCGAAGCACAGAGACGAGGAGGCTTTATGTTCACTTACATTATTAAGTAGGCATAGATTTGCAGGTCATACTGTATTGAGGTTCAAACTTGAAAATGTACTATTTTTTAGACACACAGGTTATCTTAAAAAATCCTAAGAAACATCGTTATATTTTCTGTCCAATTTCGGCCTGATTTACACTGAGACAATCAGTTTCACTCGACAATCAGAGTTGACCGGGTCCATCGAGGTGAACATAAGATGATGAGCTTCATTTAGCACATCGTGGACATGTGTAGTCGTGTCCAACATCCTGAATAGAGCTGAAACAGTTCATCAATCCACTATATATATATATATATCTATATATATATATATATAGATATAGATATATATATATAAACTATACTTTGATGATCAAATAACCGTTTAGATCAAAAAATCTCCAAACAATCTCTGCTTGCAGCTTCAACGTGTTGCTCGTCTGACATTGGAAACGTAATCTCTTTGTTTTGGTTTTTGGGACTGCTGATCACACGGAGATGAGACACGTGGAGACATCACCTCGGGCTCTGTGAACTTGGCAACACAGCGTTATAATATCGATATCATGACGTAAGACTGGATATGGACCTTGATTTTGGGTCTCGTAATATGGCATAAGGGATGTCTTTTCCTGGTTTTAAAGGCTACATTACAGTAAAGTCAACCAGACTGGTGTAGCTGTTCTATTATGTGCCTTCACTGTCATTATATCCACATTACTGGTGATTATTCATCAAAAATCTCAGTGTAAATATTTTGTAAAAGCACAAATAATCAACCCGACAATATCGTCGCAATATCGATAGTTATGTGGTCAAATATCGTGTTATTGGTTTTCTCTGTATCATCATTAATGATTCGTCACGACTTGACACTTCTAAACTAAATAAATAATCCATAAAATAATCGTAAAAACCAATCAATAATGAGAAGTAATCTTAAACTGATGCTTCAATCCACAAAAACGTGGATTTCACGGCTTCACTTTTGAGAAGTAGCCATCAGCTCTTCCCCTCACACCTCCTGTCACAGCAGCAGCACCCAGAGCACCCCCATCTCAAAACCGTGACCACTCCAGACCCTGCCAGCTTCACCACAGACTACCAGCTGCAGATCTATAGAGAGAGGGGGGGGGGCTCAGTCGATTGTCAAACCGTGGGAACCCACAGCACCCAGTTGTCTTTCTGGATCATTCTCACTTTCAATTGCAGGCATGTCACCTATAGATATAGTGCACATCCTGTTAAAACAAGGAGTCCAGCTGAGCCAGAGGTGCCTGAGATACTGGACCGGAGCAGCATGCAAGAACCAGCTTTGCAGAAAATACATCACTCACAGTCTCCGGGAGAGCACATGGGCAACGCTGACATAACTAAAATAATCACTTCACCAGCAGCTAGCACTTAATATCTATCTCACTGTCTCCTAATGTTGTATTTTTAATTTCTATACACTGCACTCAGTAGGGACTTTATGGCCATCCTATGCTACCTCCTGATACACCAGCACATCTAACAGTAGCATGTTATCATAAGAAGTCATATTATAATACAAATACACTGAAAATAGGAGTAGACAACCACAGACAAATAACTGATACCAGAGGCAGTGTTTTCATCCCCCCCGACAGCAGCCCCGGAGCTACCAAGGCTGCAGCCTCTTCTTGCTCAAGGACACTTCAGCAGCGGGGTACTTGAAGGTCTCCCGTCCCACCACTACGACGCCGCCTCTCGGCTCTTAAAGTAGCGGGGTGACCCCGGTCACGGATGCTGGCGCACATTCATTATAGCATGCTGCGCATCGCACCTGCCGCACGTTGAAGTCAACAGAGGGACCCGGCAACAAAAGAGTCACAAACGTCGCACGAGGAGGATATTATTGAGATGAATCATTATTTAATTAAAGTGTCTCCCTCTGTGGTGCTGATAGCTTTTTATTTTTATGCAATCTCAGCCACCATCATCCAATAAACACCTGCACACATCTGTGAACGGAGTCCACGTCCCGTCCGTCCCGCAAAACACATGCCAATCACTGCGCGGAGGTGTGCCGTTTATTTTTGGGTGCGTTCACGAGCCTGCCCTCCCTCTTCAACTCAAGGCATGAAACCACAAAATAAACACCCGTAAAAAATGGACTTTTTTTTTTACCTGCGTTTAAAAGTTTCATGGCGTGCGTAAACGACGAGTCCAGGCTGTCCTTCTCCGCCAGCAGCTCGGGGAGATATTTGTCTTCGTTCTCCATTTTGAGTTTGGATGGGGGGGGTGGGGGGTGGTGGTAGTGGGGTGGGGGGAGTCACTTTAGGTGCAACCAAAAAAATAAATAAGAAAAATCCCAAAAATAATAGAAAAAAAAAAAAAAAAAGTAGTCCAGTTATGTAACTACCGAGTGTCGCGGAGCCTCTGTGCGCGCGGAGCTTTGCATGTGGCTACCGGGGCGTTTCTGCGACGGACGTCTCCGCTACTTGTAGTGAGGGTTTGTTTTCTCCTCTCAGCTGACTGGAGGTCCCGTCTTTGCAGCAGCACTGACTGGACGGGAATGGGAGAACAAAAGCGGTGAGGGACGGGTAGCATCGGGATCCCACTCAAGCCGGCGGAAGTGAGCTCAGATCTGACGCCGCCTACTGTGTCGCTGCTGTGTGTTGATGCGCGCCGCCTTCGGTGGCGATAATCCGCCCCACTATCAGGTTTTTTCCCCCAGTACTGGGTGTGCCCTCTGTTACGCTGTGGTGGTCCTGCTGTCATAATAAAAATAAAGAAGGTCTCTAATAACAAACTGAAACTGGAACTTATTACAATGCTATTTGATGTGTAAATCAGAGCCAGAGGTGCACAGGTGTATTGATTAATTAGTTGTTACTATATTGTAAGCAGTTAGGTTTTCTATAATTAGAAGCCATATTAAACATGGATAACTTGTTTATGATGAACTGAAAGGGATTGTAGATTATGTATCTCGTGTTTTCTATGTATCATTTCATAAGACATTGTTAGATCATTTAGGAAACTGATGGGAGTCACAACAAATGCCTAAATCTCGATATACCTACTTTTCATTTGGGAACCATCACAGGGATATTACAGTTAATTCTGACCTGAACAGACTGACCAGAAAATGGGAAATAAACTGTAACTTGTTCATGTTTTTCTGATAGATAGAGTGAAATCTATACATACCAGAATGAATTGATCTGTGAAGCTGCACTACAATAGGATCATATTCCAAATCTATTATGTAATGAAATGTCTACAATATAACACATGTTCTTGTGTGTATTAATTGGTGAGAATAGTATAATGATGATGACACCTCTTCAGTGTTTAATTTGTTAATATAATTTACAGTGTGCCCTGCAGATGTGGTACGCTACTTTCATTCCAGGCTCTCTACTGTCACTTAGTGGCAGTGCTCATCATAACAGAGCATGACTCTGAAACTGTTGCTGATGAAACTGGGTCCATCAGAAGAAGCCTTTTTCGTTGTCCAATCTCCTATTTTCCTCCCCGCTCCTATTGATTCAACAACACGTATGTGAGAAGCTCAGTGAGGGAATATTTGGAGCGGACCCTAAAAGGATTGATTTCTCCGATCAGACGGGGGTAACGAACCTGTCGCACCGCTGAGTGGAGCACAAGAGGTCAGAGGTTAGAGCTGGCCTAATGCATACAAATCGAGAGCAGGTCATTGCTTGTGTGTTGGGTCTTTAATACAGTAGTATGCATCAGTGCAGGCGGATGCTCTTTGAACAAACAGCAAAAACAATTGCGGGTCATTTGTCAGTCCGCTGCCGGAGTGAAAATCATTACAATCGACCGGCGGCTGTACCCAGGAATGCAGCTGCTCAAAACAAATGAAGGCAAAATTTTTCTGTGATAAACTCTTATGGGAGGCCGAAAAACCTCGCTCCAACTATCAGCGTTCAGCTTGATCTATCTCTGAACGTTACAGTGTTATTAGTGTTGGGGGGTTGCAAGGTTGTCTTAATTCCTCTTGTCGTTGACAGAATGGATGGACTGTGAGCTGAATTTCAATTGGCTCATAAAAGGAAGAGTTACTTGTCTTGGCAGGTGGAGGGGTTCCAATCCGATAGCTCGCACTCTTGCCTTCTGCTTGTGTGGACGTCCCCTGTCCCGTAACATACAGAACCACAGTCTGGGGTAAACATGGGCAGATGGAAGGGGGTAAACACTGGGGTTAGGCTTATATAAGCCGCCGCTATTCCAGATCTTTGCATCTGACCATTTTTCATGCCCGAAAAAATGGCAAGGATTCAGTGCTCCCCTGGAGTTATGTACTTGCTTGGGCAGTGGAGCCTACGTAACAGCATTCAGAGTATCACAGGACTATGAAAGTAATAGTCAACTCGTAAAATTCTTAGGAGCTCCTTATGGCAGGTTTTACTGCAATTTTTTTACAAACTGCAGTACAACAAGACTATTCATACTTTTGGCTCTGTGAGGCTGTACTTATTTTACTGTTTGCCAGGTGCAATGTTTAGCATGTTTGCATGCTAACATTTGCTAATTAGGATTAAACATCAAGTATGGCGCTAGGTGAAAAGATAAGAGCTCCTCAAAGTGATTTTATCCTGTGGGGTATCCATCCAATAGATGTTGAGAAAAACCACAAATGTCACAATGGAGATAATTAAAGTAGTTAGGATTCATCCTCTGGGGGCCGTGAATGTCTGGACCAAATTCCATGGCAACCCATCCCATAGTTTTGGAGACATTACACTGAAAGTGTCAACTTCATTTTGGTGCTTTCGGAACATTCAAGAGATCTCCTAAATCAGTAGGATTCTTCCTCTGGGAACCATGACTCTCAAAAAAACAGAGACAAATGGATATATATCAACTAAACGTGATCATGGTCATCTCACCAGAGGAGGCACTAAATGGATGATATGCAATTTTAAGCAGTTGGCTTTTCATCCCTATTGTCTACAGTATTTCTTAAATCGACAATAGTTAAAAAAACAAGATACAATGTAAGTGGGAGAGATAAATTAAAGGAGAGGGATGTGTAAGCTGAAATCCTTTAGTGTCACACTGTCAGTGGAGGGTTTTCCTGCTCTTGGGCGATTTGGGCAAGAAAGCATGCGAGAGAGATAGCTGGGTTCAGTCTGAGGGTCACGCTCAGTTTCGCATCGCTACAAGGCCAGAGAAACCTTTTTTCCCCCACGAAAGCTTTCAGAACTGTCACACCTGCTTAGGTCTGTAACACCTCCCCACTACCCCTCCTCTTCCTCCATCTTCACCACTTCCCACCCGCCTTCCTGCTCCCCCTCACCACAGAAAACAAGCTCTCCCTTCATCCCATGTCCCTGTCATGCCCACAATGTGATTGTTTTGTCGATGATCAATGTCTCCACGGAGGCATCTGCATCAGAAGAAGTCCTTGGAAGATTAAAATGAAATTGAACCCTGCAAGTGCAAACATTTACATACATGGTTTGGATTTTGTTTAAGACCTTGTTTTTGTAAAATGACCTGGAGCAATACGCTACTCCTCTGGAAACTAATATTTGCATTGGAGGATTTTTGTTCCACCACTTGGAGACTCTTGGAGTTCTAGGAAAAGCCATTAGGGAGGGCACTTACATATTTATGCTGGTACTGCAATAACAGAAAGAAAAAATGCCACAGACCCAGCAGCCCAAAACTTTAATGTATCCACTTAACAAATCGGAGTGCAAAAAAAACCATGGCAGGTGCAATCACAACGTCTTTTGCTTCTATAAATAAGCAATGTGACATTTCAGGTTTTGTTATTTCTGACGGAGCTGAGAGGGGAAATTACTCCTGTTTTTCTCTTTTCGAAAAAAGTGTAAGTGTAAGAAAATGTGAGAACACTTTATGGCCCGATTACTCGGCTCCTGTTCCCATCATGTTTCTTGAAATGTGGACACCTTTACTCCACCCTTTAGTGCATACTACTCTGAAATTTAGAATAAAGTATAGTGAGACAGGAAGACACAAAATCCCATAACCTGGTTAGTGAATAGAACTGAGACACCAAAATGATCGAGTCTTCCTATATATAGCAAAACTGTATTGATTTGTATTGATTTTAATAGAATAGCATTATTCTTGAATGCCTAATATATCCTCCATTAATATATCTATCATGGCATTAATCAACATTTTTATATAAAAGCCAATAGAGAGCGAGTAAATATTCAATTACATTTGTTATGATGATACTATTGTTTGCTATCACAAACAATATCTTGCCAATACTTTCGAGATATCTATCTTTTGTAGAAAGAAGTTCCATTCACAGCAACATCTTTGGATTAGGACATTGTTTCTGAATATGTCCAATGCTCTTGAATCTTTTAGTGTTGTCAGCACCACAAACAAAAATCCAGAAGCAGAAGTCTCGCAGGTGGATACCTCCCAACCTGGCCGAATACAATCATAACTATCGGTACGGCAAGGAAGGTGAGAAACCAAGCTTACTTTTGACTCTGAATCAAATGAATACCCTTGTAATAACATGGGTTCTTGGTAGAACCACCTGGGTGGATTCTTGTGAACACCTATAGAAGGTGGAAAGGTTCTGGACAGGGTTCTGGGTGGAACTATTACTCCAAAGAAGGGTTCTCTGCTGAAACTCTCAGGTCACTCTCTTGGTGGAACCTTTAACAGATGGTTCATGGTATGGTCCTTTACGTTGGATTCTCGGTAGAACCCTCTGAAAGGGTTCCAGCTGAAACCTTTACAAAAGGTTCTACCAGAAACCACAAGGGGTTCTCCCATGAGGAAAACCCTAAGAACCCTATATTGCTCTAGTTAGCACCCTCCTTTCTAAGACACCAAAACACGCTATAAAATGTCTAAACATATATCAGTAATTTGGTCAAGAACTACTTCAGTTCGGCATCGTGTTCACATGCGGCACAGTTTTAGCTCAATACATTTTTGTATCACCTACTATTATACAACATAGTGTTTGCTTCTTTGGCACCAGACCCAATGATCTGCGAGGGACACGTCTCTGTACACAACTGTGTTACATCATAAAGCTGACTACCTGGCCAGTATCCCAAACATTGACTTACACTTTAAAAGAATGATATCGTTTGATATGAATGTTTGAGTGCTGTGATTTGTGCTGAAAGAAAGTAGGCCACTTCGGAGCCCAGGGGGGCTGAGGAAGGGCTGGATGCGATTACTCACATTCAAGGCTTTCATTCGTTATTTTTATCAATGTTCTGTTTGTTCTCTGAGTGATGTTTTTATTGCTTTGTCTCCGTGTCTTCACTGTGTGCACAAGTGTGTGATTCATATCGAACATACTTTACATTCAGGGGCTCTCCGTCTCTCCTTCACGCTTTACACTCTCCTGCTAAAGACATACCAACAGAATTGATTTATGGTGCCCGGTCGCATTCATCCAAATGAAAAGCCAATAGGTGTTTATAGACACATGTATATCTTCACATAATGCCCTGTGGCTCGTTAAGTTTTTATATCCAGTGTTACCTCTGGGAGATTGCCCAGGTGGCAGTTTGCATTCAACCCTGGTTCTGTGTCATCAGTAAGCAAACAGTAAAGTGGCTGTGGGAGATGGTTACACTCTCAGGCCGGGCTGTTGGGCCACATAGATTGAGTG